ATAAAATCTTTTTAATGCCAATACAAAAGCTCGCTCCTTAGTTAGAATCGTTGAATATGTTGTACATAGGGAAAGGTGATATCGATGTGAAATGGTTGGATTATTATGAATAGTGAATTTATCGATTTTTTCCCACTTGATTAGTGGTAAAGATTTTCGAATTGTGTTGACATGTTGGTTAAAAACAAGGTTGCATGAAGAAGAACCGCTATGCTCATTTAATGTACCGGATATCTTTGACCTCTTTGTCTTCATTATTATTCAATCTTGATTGTTTTATTATTGTAAAAGAGATTCTGTGTCTTGAATCTACTCGATTATTATACGAAATTATAAATAGATGTTTTCTTACAAATGAACAAAAGCGACCACGATTGATTTTCAATAGTTTAATCGAATGAAGATCATCAGCAAACGGATTGAAATTAGTTTAGATAATGCAATGACAGAAGAAGAAGACAATGTTTATCAGAAACAGTGTGATCAATTTGTGCAATCTATTTAAGGAGAAATCTAACAACCTGATATGTGAGTAGAATAAAAAAACGTACAACAACACATACAAACTCAATGAGAGATAAGGAAAAATAAAGATGATAATCAAGGAAATAATATGAATCACATTACACTCGATAGTTAATAAGTACAGTCTACATTTCAAGCTGAGAAAAACTGTTTGTAAACCCAGAGAGGGTATTGAAATCTTTGTATGATTGAAGCTTCAACAAACTTCAATGTACTAACTAATCTATACAACACCACAAAGGTGGATTTGATATAAATCCTTCAGTCAGATGTGGTTGTAGTTGTTGTTGTTGTTTGAAATTTTGTACACTTCATAGACTATTGCGATTCATTTACATTAGTGGCCATTTAGCTATGAGATTGACAACTTTTGTTATGCTGATAATACTGCTCTTGTGTGTGTGTGTGTGTTTGTATGTGTCTACGAATGCATATGTGAATTGATGAATATAGTAGTATGTAGAGTACTCGTTTACAAACTGTTTACCATTTTGGTAAAGTGTAGACCTTCTAGATAAAACTGGTTTTCGTGCTTCCTCTTCGGTTAGGAAACTTAATATTGGGCTGTTGTTTAAGCATAGAGTAACAAATCTCTCATCTTCGTTGCCTATCATTCAGTCAGTCACTTAAAGATCTTCTGTGTGAAGTCTACTGTAATGGCACAGCCATTGTTTCTCATAGACCAGTTATTTATTCCAGTTACAAGCATTCAAACTAGTAACGCATAACTGAAGAACCGCCTTAATGCTGTTGATCACTATACTGGACGAACATCTAAGTATTGTCTGATATATCTGGAATTCTAATTGAGGAAAATCAGTTATGACGACCTATCTAAAGTAATGGTTCTATTGATTTTAAAATAAATACTAATAATAAGTATGAAACTGCACTTATGCGAATTATTAAAACAGTTAAGGAAGGTTATTATTTATGATATAATATGTACGGGAGGCTATAAGGCTAAGTATGCATCAATCAAACTATTATTGAAAATAACAAATTGTGCATATAAAACACAAATATGGCTTTTCATTTCAATAGGTGTAGACCGATATTTGTACTTCTTTGGTAATGATTAGTCTTGTAAACATTCATGAAACGAAATGTCCACAACCACCTCAGTGGACAGATTCAAAAGAAGACTTGTCAAACACATACTCAATGAGGGATTATCAACTCCTACTTGGACCAGCTGTGTCTTATGTCTATCTCTAAACCTGATGGTTGTTAATAGTATCACTTCCTCAGATCAACAACTTATTATCACCTCTGTGTCTCTCTGCCTTGATTACACTTCAATCATCTCCTACAGTTTTCACTAACAATTAATTATCTTACTTACCCATTTATTTGGTTCTGACACTTTATTAGTGTTAGAATTTTACTCTTTACTATTCTCCACACTGCAACCGATTAATTTCAGGCCTAGTAATATGTTGTCTACTGTTATTCAGAAAGCCTGCCGACCTGTGACAAACGCATTCATTCGCAAATAAGTGCCTGGATTTCTAGATTGTTGCTGTCGAGTTTGCGGTCTACCACCCTTCCGACATTACCGAATCCTTGAGACTGTGCCAAAAAACACAAAATTTGTGTTCAACGAAATTTATTGCTTCATACTAACTGATGTAAAAGATGTTAAGTATCCTAAACGGTCAATATTTTTCATTTTCTTGAGGTCCAACAGTGCAACTATGTAACCTTGTTGTTCTTCATCTCCTTTTGTGTTTCACTTTATGTATTGGTACCTGTTTTCGTCGAATTCTCATGTTCTATCGTAAAGACGTGTTAATAGTCCAGATTATAAGCTGTTGATAATGCACATAGTCGTCTATTCCTATATGAGTACATGAGAGCTTGGAAGCTGTTGCCGTTATGGGAATATAAAAGAAAGAATGTAGACAGCAGCCTAACAGTAATTTGTACACTGTACCACTCATGCTGTTTTGGTGAGACCAGCCGTAGTAAGTAAGACTTTAACTTCGGTAAACTATTCAGACCTTCCAGCAGCTGTAGTTCTGTTTTTGGTTGTATTACCTTCTACCACGACTAGGTTTATATATATTGCAACATTTACAAGGGGACCGTTGTTTTGTAGGATTATTGCGTACTGTATGAGAGAAAACATTATTCGCTTATTCAGAAGGATTCCTTATACCCGATCACTATCTATCAACATCAATTCCGTGAGTGATCAAATAGGATCAATAATCGTAAGCTTTTTATAGATTGCATTTCAATCCAGCTCAGTAAACGATGAGAATTCAGTAAATTGAGAAAGAGTCAGAAATTAGCAACCATCTACTATATTCTTAATCATTCTCATTGCACACAAACAAACCAGAAATGTAAAAAATTCGTAAGCAACTACCACAGTAAATTACCAAAGGTAAGCATTAGTCAATTACAGTAACGATTATGGAGCGTGTAACAACAGACACAGAACATTCAGCTTCCATATCATCCTTTGACGTCACCTAAAATATTCATTCACAGAGTAAAACAAAAGTATATCTTAGCCTACTGTGTACTAAGGAAGCTTTGGCTATCCGTAACTGAAAACCTTCGTTGTGAGTAGAACAGAAATTTATTAGATCGATTGCGGACCCGTATGAACGTAATCAGCATATGATAATACGTTTAAATAGATTACAATACTATAAAATGAAATGGATGTATATAAATATGGAAATTGTAGGAAAATATTACTCAATGCGATGTTGCATAATATTAAATGACAAAATAATAGCAACATTTATGTATTCAATCTTATTTTGAAGTTCCTTATGTGCTATCCAATACAAAGGAAGTTCATTCAATCATCAGTTGTTGTATTGTATGATTGACATGGACAGTATAAAATGAAATTTCAATACGGTAGCTTTATTGGTAAATAATCTAGGTCAATTATTCCATATGGTGTATAGTAGTGACTTATAAGCATAATATAACATCAACGTAATTTTCAATCACAGGCTAATAATGAAATAAATGCGTGGACGTCAGTTGTACTAATTTTATCACCAACTTTAACACTAGACATGAAAAGTGAACTAGATTCAGATAAACTTCCAATTATCGCAGCAGCTAACACTAGCAAATCTTCTGCAACAACCTCATTCAGGTCTCAGTCTTTAGTTGAAAGCTTGGAGAATGATAGACAGTGAGAGGGTAGAGATAAATGTTACGACGAATGAAGTCGATTGAGATCTGCTTGGTGATTCCATGCATATCCGAAGCAAAGTTTGATAGAGAAGTAAATTTTCGTTGTTGCTTCTGTCAGTACCTCGAAAACCAACTACATCCGGAAGGCGAGTAGCTATGGTGAATAAAAAGTACTCAAGATCATTACGCTCATCCGCTTGATACATGCAAAACCCACCAAGGAATTCTATAAGACTTTCAAGGTTGCCATAATCCCGTAAATTTCATTCATACAAGTATGTGTATTACAAACCTGGGACATCTGTCTATGAGAAAACCTTGTATCGCAGATTTAAGGTATCCTGAGGATTCGATCGCTATCCTCAAGACTGGCACACAAAGTGTATAACATCAAACTCTACCATCCACGAGACAAATAGTAGTCTGACCGTTTCAGATTCCGCGTCAGTCAGTCTTCTTATCCATAATGTCAAGAATTGAAACCACATGGTTCTTGCCAGGTAAATTAATGCTCTTCACAGTTTAGAAAAGGTAAATTTTGAAGGATGTTCACATAATTCATCAAAAAATCTGTACCAATAACATATCTTCAAAACTATTCATTTGTTTGGACAAACACCAAGGAAATATCAGAGGATGCCAAACGCATATCCTAAACATCACTGTACAGAACATAAACTACCGAGTATTATAAAATAGTTTAAAATAAGCTAAGCAAAATGGAAATGAATTTCTGAAGTTCAAAATAGATTTTGCAGCTGCCTCATACGTTTACTTACTCAAAACACTGGTACTTTCACCGAGCAACACTTATATACCAAAATTGTGGGATTTAACATTTAAATAAACCTACCAAATAACTGTTAACACAATTCTGACTCTTCCAAGGGTAACTGCTAATGCTCTTTGCTGAACAAAGAACTCTGCACATATATATACTACTTACTACGTTATATAGTAGCGTGAAATTCAAGTTGAAAATGATAAAGCAATTGATTTCACTACCATGAAGACCAAATTAATTCGTCTGTACAATTATTTACTTATCATATCAGCATCAAAATAATAACGATATTTACTTATCTAATGTCTGATCTATTATTCATCGTAATTAGAAGGTTACAGGAAAATTTTAAAAACTACATTGATTTCTACGTTGAGTGTGTCGGTACGAAATTTTCAATTAAGGATACTGATATTCTGATATTCTGTTTATTGTATTAGTGATTGGCTGATTAAGCTTGATGATGATTGGTCAGAGAAAAAATGAAATATTTGTCGTTCTCCTGTGTGATTTTGTCAGTGTTGTTTGTGCGCCTACATGATTATGGTAAGTTGCATCACTTTTTTATGACTGAATCGGTTCATTTCGAACAATAAATTCAATGAATCAGTTAGTTGGCTATTTAACTATTTAACTATTATTCATAACTATTTTGTCAATGAATTACCAATGTGCATCCATTAAACTAAGTGATAGGAATTGTAGTCCACTATATGTTGTGTTTAATACCGAAATTAGACTGAACATATTTCAAAGAAAATGTTCTAGTATATTATTGGTTCAATAAGGTTGAAAAGTTTTGTCTTTAGAGTAAGATTGACTGATCAGTTTACCGATATACTGTCGTTTGAAATGATTTTGCAAGGTACTTTTTACTATCTGAATTGTGCTAGAATATCGTCGAATGAGTGTTCAGTACGTTCGATTTCTCAACACTTTTCCAAATGAAGTATATCGATTTGTAATGAAAGACAGTGTCATACTAATAAGTGGGATTGTAGATGTACACTGCTGAGCAGTCAGTCTCATACTGGAATGTAACGGCCATCTAGTGCTTTGAAGTTTTCGATGATAGTCTAGCTAAGATTCGTTCTTGATTTAAACTGTGAAAATATAATATATTGGTCAGTATTTTGGTTTAATATTGTTTCATTAAACAACACAACATAATCATAGTTTAATTTTATGGTAATCATTTTGAAAATATCTTCACATAATGCTGTACACAGGGATTGGATTCTGTGAATGAATGAATTGAATTCTTTTTAAAGGGAAGATGAATTTTCGATCAACAATTTTGTGATAAGTCTGAACCGATTATTCTTATTCATATCACATTGTACCATCATTAGTGTAAACGCTGCTTATTTTTAATTAAGTTGATATTGTGTGATTATTCAATTAACTAATCTAAGGATATTTCTTGTTACAAATCAACATTGAATGAGGAGCCGACAGATGTTGAACAGTTACTTTTTCATAGTTTTAAAGTCACATGCTATGCATAGTATCGAAATGAAATCATTCTGATCTTAAAACTATTAATGTTATGCAGACAGACTGGTTACGGGGTTTGCAGTTAACTCGCATTCATAACATTACCCTCCATCTGATTGCAATAGATGAATATTCATCTTTTTTCTTTCTTACATGCATTCATAAATGAAAACAATCAACTCTTATTGAAACATAAGTGACTAATATGCACAGACAATTATTGATTGGTAAATGAGGTAAGTGAAAAGTATGAAACAATGTAATTTATAATCAATGAATTATTACCAGTTCTCATAGTCTGTTGATTCAAAATATATGCCTGCATATTACTACTTATTGACAACATCTCCTAAGTCTTCTTCATTACTTCATTACTGTATTTTAATGAGACAATATTCAATTTTTGCTGTTTTTAATAAACATGTAAACGCTTGATTGATAATTTGGATTTTTCTTTTTTTTAAAATAATATAAAAGTTGTAAGCAGCTGATAAGAAAATTAGTCAAAAAATTGAATTCATTTTATTCTGTACAATTCTTTGTTCTTACTTTTTTTCATGATAAATAACAAATGAAATTGATCAATGAATAATTTTTCATAAACCTCGTCATTGAATTATTTTTTCGGATTTCAGAATCTTCAATGCATACCGTCACAAGATAACTTACTTGCTGTGAGTGAATCAAAAGAGCTATCAAAAATTAAAATTCCATTAGGAGAGCAAAATTTCATTCAGTCATGTCATTCATATCCATTGGCTATACCAAAGAATAAAAGTCCATTTTATGTTATTTATGATGATGGTGTACAAAGTGATTGTTGCACAAGATCATCTGATCCATTGATCAATGGTCCTGCGAGATGTGATTGTCTTTTCGCGACTATTCTAGCTACAGTCAGTATCATATTGTTGCTTATTGGGATAGTTTTAACCATACTGCACTATGTAGTCGGTATGGAATTTTACACTGTTAACCGTGGTCAAACTGTTGGTCCATTATTAATAGGCCTCACAGTTATCCCGTTTGTATTCATGATCTATTTTATATGTACAGCTAAGTTTAAACTGGTTGATTATGTTGAACAGATGACAATGAATTATCGTATCAAAGAACGAATGGCATATAGACAACATCAGGTAATTAATTCACTTCATTTAATCTAATCGTTTTGTTTTGTTTTTAGTTTTTTAATCATAAAGGAGAGACGCAGATTTTTGTTTTTGTTTAATTACAACATTCAAACAATAATAAACTATTAAAAAAATGCTCTGCTAATATGTCTAAAAGATTTTAAAAAAAATTAAAAAAAAATACTATTTAACAATAGGGAACAAACAGTCTACTGTTCATTCTTAAATTGATCTATTTCACAAAAATATGTATAGCGATGATGACAATTGAATTAAATGGCTATTGATCGTTTCATGAATAATACAAATAATGTATTTTAACTTTATTTGCTAAGCTTGAATCATTCACTGCATAAGTTCATCATAATGTTTCACTCACTGGTTTAAAAGACCTCATGTTTATTGAAACATAAATTGTTGAACTGAGTGAAAATTATTCCCACCAATAAATTCTAATCAGGTTCAACAGTTATCAATTCAAATTGATGTTACAAAGAGGTTAGGCAAGTTTAAGGTAACTAAACTGTAACATACAAACTTATGAGATTCAGGCAAACTTGCTAGATGAAGCCATTGAATTATTGAAATTTCAATTACTGAGATTGCTTAAATATACATTTTACACATAAATTAAGGATTTTTAATCAAACTTGTTAGTTTGATTGAAATAATGAAACATGGAGGCACTGAATAACTGTTTCATCCTTGTATACAACTCAGTAATGTGTATTCTTAAATTTATATGTTTTAGTCTATTCGCCTTAACACACTCATCTAACCTTTTTGTAATATTAGTTTTAATTTATAACTGTTGAATTGGATTCGAATTTATTGAAAGAAATGCATAAACACGATTCACAAGTGTAAATTAACTTTCAAAGGAAAAATAAAATCACATGAATACAGAAATACTACAATCGGTAATGAAATATTCCAAACATACACAAATAAAATAAATGAAGATATTTGTGTCAACACATCATGTCATTCATCCTATAAACTTTACAATAATAAATATAGCATTGTAATTTGTATAGTAAGAGAAGTGAGTATTTTTCACAAGAATATATATATATATATATATGCATGTCTGTAATTAAGGAAGTATTTTTACAGCTTCCATGATTGTAACATACAGTCATTCTGTCAAAGTATTCTTTATATTTCTTCAGGCAGAACTAGCACGAAGTTCAATTGGATTACGAAGCTCGTCCAGACACAGTTGACTAATCGAATAAATTAGAACACAAAATGGACTAATCTCATTCAATCATTGATCTTTGTGAATTTAATTTAAAGAATATTTTTTCAATTGTGAAAATTATAACAACAAACTAATTGTATGGGACTTTTTTTTATTTAAAAAACATCAATAAAGACATAATTATTTACAAAAACCTTGTGTGTTTCTTTCAATCTACTCTATTTCTACTTTTGTACAGCCTTCATTAGTTAGAATATGAAAATGGATAATTTAGTTATTATTGTGTTGCCTTTTTAATTCAATGACAACATTGTGTTTATCTTATAAATAAGCATAGTTGAAATTAACAATATTTATCAATACGTTTGTTGATGACACTGACATATATTTTGAAATATGCACGAAATGAAATTGAATATTTAACTTAATCATCTACTAATCCCTATATATACATACATACTCTAATCATTTTCTAGTACATTCAAAGCCAGTCTATTTAAAAATTCAAACACACAATCGACGTACACTCTCTTCCAATGCAATATACTTTTTTTGTACAAACAGCATACTATATTTATATATTTATGATTACCAATTGCAATGACTGTCTATAAATTTAAATCTTCAGATTTTGTTTTTTTTTTTGTTTAATGAAAGCTGTCGTAGCATTTTATATGTTTGTGGAAGCGGGTCGGGTTGGGTTATTCACTACCAATAGTAATCGAATTTAGAATGCTGATAACGATTGAAAATGCAATTATTCCATCTATTCTTTGAAAAAGTAAAAAGCAACAAAATTTCAAATTGTTCATCAATATGGTGGTTCACTAGTTAAGTAAAACAATATAAAAATGTTAGACTATTTGAATTCAACAACTTAAACAAACAAGATGTTTGTCATTAAGTTACTTAATTATGACTAATTTGTTAATTCTGTGGACAAATGAACTGAATAAATTATTGATCTGTGTTATGAATTATTTTGGTTGTCATAGTTACATGAGTTGAGTAAATTAGTAGTAGTAGTAGTAGTACACATTATAAAATGAATTGAACATTGAATGCGGACACACCCCAACATAAAAATCAATATGAAAAATTTACAAATTTCCATTAATCTCTCATAAATACCAATGAATAATACACTAGAGACAAATAAAATTCAAATTCAAAGTGCTGACATTGTAAAGATTGTTGACCAGTTTAACATATTTGATGCTTAGTGTCACTTGACATTCCAAGCTTGTTTCAGAGAACGACTATTATCTAATCGGTTGACAATAACTATGATAGGTTCTTTGGAATGAATCATATTACGTGTATTGATACAAGTAACCCTAAAAATTCACGAATACTATACTTTAATTCAAAATTCACTCAGCTCGTTACATAAATGCAATCCATTTCAAGGGTTTAAATATCATTGAGGATGAATAATCTAAATTTAATGTTATGAAGAGAAGAAATTCGTATAATTTGACTGTCATAGACACTTTTACAACTATAACTACTATGGAAAAAAATCACTGACTGATCAATAGGGTTAAATACACGGATCGGTCATTGAATGATAACTAAATATCACATCCCCTGATTTCCAAAAAGAATAACTTCTGCATTATCTGGTTTAAACAGTCCACCAATTAGTAGTGGTGATATATTATAATCAAGTAGAATTAATTTATTTGGCGTTTTGGACAAATCGTATTGATAAGAAAACATTGAAATAACCCCAAACTTATGATGAGAAGTTTCCTATAAACTGTTTTCCTACATTCCATATCATAATTACCTAGTATTAACAATTTGAAATTCATCTTTTCCATTTGTTTATAACAGTTATAATATTCTCTGGGAAATATCTGACTAAGTGATAGTCACTAATCAATATGCCAAAGATTAATTATATATACATATGAAATATTTAGAGATGGATGATATTTTATGCGCCATTCAGTGTCCGATTGATGAGTGGGGAAAGTACAAATACTCTAGATATATTTGTTATTATTAACAGGATGAAGTATTTCAGTCAAATAAAACATGTTGGAGTTTAAGAGAACAGAAAATAAAATGATAATCTACAGAAACTGACGAATATTGTAGACGGTTATTTTCTCTAAGAACCTTCAGCCACGTAAAATCATGACAAGTTTGTTAGTAGATCACTCTAGAACACTGCGAAAATTATCACGTGAAAATGACACCTGTGCAACATTTAAGCAGATGAAATCAATTTCATGTGAGGTGACTGATGTTGGAAATATCAAACATTAATTTCCTGTTTACAGATACACTGCATATACAACTGGTTTTTCTTTATGCAACAGCTTTCAATAAAAAATAAAATCTGAAGTCATTGCAATTGGTAATCATAAATATATAAATATAGTATGCTGTTTGTACAAAAAAAAGTATATTGAATTGGAAGAGAGTGTACGTCGATTGTGTGCTTGAATTTTTGAATGAACTGGCGTTGAATGTACTAGAGAGTGATTACAGTATGTATGTGTTGTGAGACAACTTTATCACTACCCAAAAGGGTTTCAAGCCTCGATGATATAACATAAACATGTCGAGTGTATAAATATTGTTTGAAAATGCCATTTTATGCTATGATTATAAGCTAATCACCAGTAAATTTTATACTCATTTATATATTTCGTAGGTACTTATGACCATTAATTCGGATCTCTGATATTCCGATCTAAGGATTAGAAATGTAGAACTTATACATGTACTGGAGAACACACCAACAGCTGCTGGAAGGTCTGAATAGTTTACCGAAGTTAAAGTCTTACTCACTACGGCTGGTCTCACCAAAACAGCATGAGTGGTACAGTGTACAAATTACTGTTAGGCTGCTGTCTACATTCTTTCTTTTATATTCCCATAACGGCAACAGCTTCCAAGCTCTCATGTACTCATATAGGAATAGACGACTATGTGCATTATCAACAGCTTATAATCTGGACTATTAACACGTCTTTACGATAGAACATGAGAATTCGACGAAAACAGGTACCAATACATAAAGTGAAACACAAAAGGAGATGAAGAACAACAAGGTTACATAGTTGCACTGTTGGACCTCAAGAAAATGAAAAATATTGACCGTTTAGGATACTTAACATCTTTTACATCAGTTAGTATGAAGCAATAAATTTCGTTGAACACAAATTTTGTGTTTTTTGGCACAGTCTCAAGGATTCGGTAATGTCGGAAGGGTGGTAGACCGCAAACTCGACAGCAACAATCTAGAAATCCAGGCACTTATTTGCGAATGAATGCGTTTGTCACAGGTCGGCAGGCTTTCTGAATAACAGTAGACAACATATTACTAGGCCTGAAATTAATCGGTTGCAGTGTGGAGAATAGTAAAGAGTAAAATTCTAACACTAATAAAGTGTCAGAACCAAATAAATGGGTAAGTAAGATAATTAATTGTTAGTGAAAACTGTAGGAGATGATTGAAGTGTAATCAAGGCAGAGAGACACAGAGGTGATAATAAGTTGTTGATCTGAGGAAGTGATACTATTAACAACCATCAGGTTTAGAGATAGACATAAGACACAGCTGGTCCAAGTAGGAGTTGATAATCCCTCATTGAGTATGTGTTTGACAAGTCTTCTTTTGAATCTGTCCACTGAGGTGGTTGTGGACATTTCGTTTCATGAATGTTTACAAGACTAATCATTACCAAAGAAGTACAAATATCGGTCTACACCTATTGAAATGAAAAGCCATATTTGTGTTTTATATGCACAATTTGTTATTTTCAATAATAGTTTGATTGATGCATACTTAGCCTTATAGCCTCCCGTACATATTATATCATAAATAATAACCTTCCTTAACTGTTTTAATAATTCGCATAAGTGCAGTTTCATACTTATTATTAGTATTTATTTTAAAATCAATAGAACCATTACTTTAGATAGGTCGTCATAACTGATTTTCCTCAATTAGAATTCCAGATATATCAGACAATACTTAGATGTTCGTCCAGTATAGTGATCAACAGCATTAAGGCGGTTCTTCAGTTATGCGTTACTAGTTTGAATGCTTGTAACTGGAATAAATAACTGGTCTATGAGAAACAATGGCTGTGCCATTACAGTAGACTTCACACAGAAGATCTTTAAGTGACTGACTGAATGATAGGCAACGAAGATGAGAGATTTGTTACTCTATGCTTAAACAACAGCCCAATATTAAGTTTCCTAACCGAAGAGGAAGCACGAAAACCAGTTTCATCTAGAAGGTCTACACTTTACCAAAATGGTAAACAGTTTGTAAACGAGTACTCTACATACTACTATGTTCATCAATTCACATATGCATTCGTAGACACATACAAACACACACACACACACAAGAGCAGTATTATCAGCATAACAAAAGTTGTCGATCTCATAGCTAAATGGCCACTAATGTAAATGAATCGCAATAGTCTATGAAGTGTACAAAATTTCAAACAACAACAACAACAACAACTACAACCACATCTGACTGAAGGATTTATATCAAATCCACCTTTGTGGTGTTGTATAGATTAGTTAGTACATTGAAGTTTGTTGAAGCTTCAATCATACAAAGATTTCAATACCCTCTCTGGGTTTACAAACAGTTTTTCTCAGCTTGAAATGTAGACTGTACTTATTAACTATCGAGTGTAATGGGATTCATATTATTTCCTTGATTATCATCTTTATTTTTCCTTATCTCTCATTGAGTTTGTATGTGTTGTTGTACGTTTTTTTATTCTACTCACATATCAGGTTGTTAGATTTCTCCTTAAATAGATTGCACAAATTGATCACACTGTTTCTGATAAACATTGTCTTCTTCTTCTGTCATTGCATTATCTAAACTAATTTCAATCCGTTTGCTGATGATCTTCATTCGATTAAACTATTGAAAATCAATCGTGGTCGCTTTTGTTCATTTGTAAGAAAACATCTATTTATAATTTCGTACAATAATCGAGTAGATTCAAGACACAGAATCTCTTTTACAATAATAAAACAATCAAGATTGAATAATAATGAAGACAAAGAGGTCAAAGATATCCGGTACATTAAATGAGCATAGCGGTTCTTCTTCATGCAACCTTGTTTTTAACCAACATGTCAACACAATTCGAAAATCTTTACCACTAATCAAGTGGGAAAA